GGCCCCAGGCCAGAGATTCCGTGCCAAGCCCGATTTAGGGTATCCTCTATTTGAGGTGCTTTTAGAGAGGGCCCAACATGTGCACATTGCTGTCTGCTCAGAGAGCCGTGTCCAGTTCTGGGGGGGGATGTGGAAGGGCAAAGCTGAGCATTTCAAAGTTCCCGATTGAAGAGTCTCCTTCAGGAGTTGCAAGGTGGAACAAGCAGGCCAATCGCGGAGAGCCTGGGATTCCTGCCATCCAGCCTTCCAGCAACAGGAGCCACCCTGAGGTTGGAGTCAGAAGGACTTTTCTGAAAGGGAAGAAGGAGGGGAAGGTTCCGTTTGGATTTGGTGTTTCATATGGGCAGGTGCTTCTCACAGATCTCCAGGAGGATGCTACTCTGATTAACACCGCTCTGTCACCTGTTTTAATAAAAGGATGTGCTTCTGCGGTTTCATCTGGCTCTGCTGGAGAGGGAGAGGTGGTGGGAGAGACCTGCTCATGACAGGGCTCTCAGTCCAAGTCCAGCCTAGCGACAGAGGGTCATGTGAAGCTGCCCATCAGCAATAGGCACCTTGCTTGCTTTCAGGTTCACCAAAAATGAAAAAATTGCCAGCTACATTCCTACACCTTGCTGTCTGTATGAAACTTGTCTAGGAAATGTGTGCAAAGGTGAAGGATGAAAATAAATTCAAATTCTTCCATTTTCTACAGAAGATTTTTGGCCTGTCTTTTACTGAGTCCTTTCTCAGTGTCATCACAGTAACTATGACTGAAAGGGCTTCAACTCTTTAGCATAACTTTTGCTAATAGCTGCAGTAGCAGGGAATCTCCAGTGCATGGAATAAAATGTGCAAACTTGTTCCTTGTAAGAACTTTTTTGCTGGACATCATTGTCCTTTGCAGCCATATTAGCTGTATTGTCCTATGACTGCCTTCCACATTTACTGAATCTTTTTCAGTTTCACTGAAATAGTTCAGCATCAGCTCAGTCCTACTTTCACCCGTGAGATCTTTCAGTTCAAAAAAACGGAGAAAGCATTCAGTTGGTAACTCATCACTTGGAGAAAGGTATCTCACAATGGCAGTAAGCTGATCAGCATGGGAAACATCGGAGCTTGAACTGGCTGAATTTAACCTAGCCATAAAACTAAAGTAAACTGCCTGCCTGTTTGCTGTTGCTCAGTATTGCTACTCAGACTTTACTAACCATCCACTGAATAAGGTGGTTTGGGATAAACATGTTAGTTGACCAGAGCCTTTACCTCTATACTGATTTATGCGAGTACACCGAAAGGGATCAAATTTGGCAAGTAATTCAAGTAATCCAAGAAACTTACCATTGTCTGGCGAACCAAATGTTTCATCATCTCTCCTAAATGCCAAGCCACATTCTGCCAAAAGGAAGGCCATTGCAATCACTCCCTGAAGCATGAGCCTCCAGTAATCCTGCTCTGCTCTTCAGGTTTTGATTTATTTATTTATTTATTTATTTATTTATTTATTTATTTATTTGGAGCATTTTTAGGCTGTCCAATCACATTGATGTGAGCTGTTGCCCACACTTTCTTGATAAGTCACTTAGCATATCATTTATATGATTTTTATCATATGATTTTTCATTCATGTGGATTTTTTCGGTGGGTTTGCACAAGATAAGCATGATGTGAACAATCCAATGCAGTAGAAGCTAACGGTGTAGTTGAGGTAGTTTGGTTAGAGAAAGGTTTGCACACAAAACAGTAGACTTTTCATTGTGCAAATTCCTTGTGCAAAACCAGACTTGGTTTTTGTATGTTTCCTGCAATGCTAGTGTTTTCGCTGAAATCATTTGCTTTATTTTCCAAGTCTTTAAAACCGTAACAAGCTTGAACTGCTTCTTTTGGTGTAACTCTCTCATGACATGTTCCTTCAGTACCTTGTGTTAATCCGTTGGCTGTAGGTCCTGTCACTTCATTGTCACTTTCTCCATAAGTTTCTATACTTGTAGTGGTAGTTACTGAAAACAGCACTCCTTGAAGTTCTTGAGAAGTTGTGTTCTGTACATAAACTGGTTATTCTTCACTCTGCTCAGACCGATTGGTGTAGTTTACTTGATTTTCTTCTCTTTGCCAACATGAATGTTCTGTATCTGAGGGATTATGTAGGGCTGTTTATGCCTCCTGTACAAAGCCATGCGATGTGCTCAGCTTTATTGTTGCTCTCATTTAATACCACCATTTTCATGTTGCTTACTCATTACTATTTTCAGAAAAAGTCAAAATTAAGTATTATTGTGATTCACAGTGATATAAAAGAATCCTGACTTGCTATCAGAACATACACTATAATGATAAACAGTGATCTGAACACTTGAATTGTTGTCTGCAGATGGTTCAGATGGTACTAGGACTGCAGATTCATGCCTGGTTTGCCAAAAATCACACCAGGGGTGGAAAATAAATATTTAATAAATTAGGAAAGGAAAGGGGCAAAAGTCCAAAGCAAGCAAGCAAAAATGAAAGCAAGACAAAAAGGAAAAAAGGAGTATGCAAAAGAACAATGCTAAAGATAAAACAAAAGCACGGGAAGCTGGGATGCTCAAGAGCTCTAAATGAAGCCTGGGTTCAGGGGATCACTTTGGTTCTCACTGCCACTTTCCCCCAGGGCTTGCTTGTCCAAGAGGTGCTCTGCCCATCCTGTGCATGTTGGTCACAGGGCCTCCCAGTGCTTTGATGGATTTGATCTTCAGTGAAGTCACACAAATGGGGTCATTTTTGCCAGTTGCCAGCTTGTGGGGTTCCAGTAGTGATGGGCTCACGTCCTTTTTCAGTGCAACACACTCTCCACGGCCATCAACCCACCCTCCCAGTCATCATGATCTGGTGTCTAGGAAGATGCGCCCACCCCTCTTGTCCTGCAGCTTCATAAGCATCTCTGCATGCTCACGCCCCTCATGGGACTGGAGCAGGAAGCACTTGGCAAACTTCTCCAGGGCCACAGCATCAGTGTCAAAGCAGCAGAACACGCTGAGGTACACGGACGATGCCTCTGCGTCAGGCTGACTGGGCAGCTGATGGCTGCTTCGTGGTGCTGCTGGTAGTTCTGGTGCATCTGGGAAGGAGACAAAACCCACCAGGCGAATCCAATGACACCGGTGGCCCCAGGCGGGGTGGCTCCCGTCCAATCACTGCTGAGGAAGGAACCTCCTCGGCTGCGTTTCGTGAAGTGCGCACAGCAAACCGTTTCCGACATTATTGGTTTTCTAGTAACCAGTTGCCCCCCCTGCTGCCAGTGGCCTCGGGCCTGTTCTGTCCTGCTCTAACCAGTCAAGACTTCCCATACAGGGCCTGGCTGCTTCTGAAGCCACACCAACGATGAACAACAGCATTGCTTCATAGCCGACATCACCATTTGATTCTGAGCAGCTTTAAAGAACATTATTTTGCGGGGAGGCCAAGCCTCCTTAGATGATGAGGCCCACTCAGCCCATAGATAAACCCGGCACTGCTGGCTTCCATAAGGACCCTCCCGGAGTTATGGGGCCCAGGCATACTCAAAAGGAAGGGTTCCTGGAAGTAGTTGCAAGACTGGGTTCAAGGCACTGCTCTGTGCGTGCTCAGAGACTCATTCTATGGTGAATGGGGAGGGTAGCGGCCAAAGGGGTCACCGCCGTTTGGGTGCCGTTCGGGGGACGAGAGGGGGGCTGGGCCGGCCAAGGACTCTTGTTGAAATAGGCTTGCCTACGGCTGAATCTTAGGGAAGGGGAAGGATTTTTTTTTCCTTTCTTTTTTCCGTTTATCGTTCTTTTTTCTCCTCTTTTGAACTGCTTTATAATTTTACCCTGCTTTAATTAGTGCTTTGAGTCATCCCTGGCCATGTCGATGTTTATATATCCTGGGGAACACACGGGCGCTGCTATTGGCGTGGTGTCACGGGCAATGGTTGTTACAGCAATAGGGGCTTAACGTGTCCATGTAGAAGAAGGATGGACAGACGGCTGACACCTATCCCTCCTTCTGGTCCTGCCCCCAACCAGAGGGCGCCAGGTAGCTTTGTCAACCACCCCTCGGGCCTGACGGTGCTGCTGCTCAATGCTAGGTCGG